GCTCAAACACTCTCAAATGAAGAAACGATGGGTGTTTCCAGCATGGGCCCCAATTCCCACCACACAAAGGTCACTTAACATCCCTTCAGCTTACTCAGGAAGACTTCATCTGGATGCAAGCAGAATTTACTCCTATTTTAAAGCTTCAGGCAGCCTTGGTGTAAGTGGGCTCCCAGCAGGATCCTGGAGAGGAGCACACAGAACCTTCACATGAATGCACCAAAACATGCGGGTTTCATCTAAGAAGGGACTGAGAAATGCTGGGCAATTCAAGCTGCAAGGTAACTAACCCAGCCTGGCTTCAAGCCAGGGCACCCAGACTCACAGCCAGTCTGCAACAAAACCAAACAAAATGGCTGGCAAGCACCGGCCTGGGCATTATTTCAGAGGAAAGACAAGCCCAGGGTGGGGAACTTTCTCTTTGGTTCCAGTTCAATTGTCTAAGGCATAACTTGTGGCCATTGGCCCACATTAAATTATCTGGCACTGCCAAGATGATTTTGGCTCTGTTGTCTCTCTAACTTCTTCTCAGTTGTTACCCATTATCAGGACATCCCTTTGCTTCACCTTTGCCAGACTTAATAAGCCCATCTCCTTCTCAGGCTGTAGGAAGCAAGTCCTGGCCATGCTGATAGCCCTCCAACAGACCCTGCCCAGTTTATCAACATCCTCTTGACATGAGAGACTCAAAAGGGGAACAATGGTTCAGGTGTGGACTCACCAGCACCAAACAGAAGAGTACAACAATCCAGCCATGCTCCTGATATAACCAAGGATGTGACTTCCACCAGTATAAACGAGAACACACTGCAAGCTCATGATTATGTGGGTCCACCACAACCCCCTCCTGCTCCTTTTCAGCAGGGCTACGACTTTGCTGGTCTCTCTTTTCAGGAGAAAGGCTCTAGTGACTCTTCATGAAGTAAGAAGTCAGGGAATTTCACTGTCACCTGCATGATGTTTGGGAAGGATAATGTTTCTCAGGAGGGTAATTCATGAATTACTGATGCCACTCTCTCACTCTCCAGCTCTTTCACAGTCCTGAGCAAATGCCTGGAATAACAAGGATGCCCCCAGCCTGCAGGCATGTTGGTGGAGCTAGAGCCAGGTGGCTAAGAGGGATTGCAGAGCCATGCCAAGCCTCCCAGCTCTGTACCACAGGGAGCCAAGACATGCCCCAAGCTGAGGGCTTCAAATGCACCAGCCTGCATCCCCAGCAAGTGACAGCTGCTAGCTGACCAGCTGGAACAAAAAGCTCAGGAGAGCCCCCAGTCTCATATGGAGGAAGGAGGATAACAGCCACATGAAAGCTCCACAGAGACAGAGCCAAAAAAAAAGCTCAAGATGCCTGCAAATGGCTGTGCCTCAGCATTACACCACACTGCAGTGGCATGTGGGGTTGCGGGAGGGGAACTCTTCACTTTGTCTGCTTGTGTCTGGGCAACCTGCAAAACAAAAAGCAGGTAGAGCAGACCAGAAGCTTTTAAATAAGATTATGCATCAGCTTACAGACACAACAGTTTTGGGTATTTACTAAGTGGAAAGATGGCACATCTTTATTTTTCCTTTTCCTTTTTCCTTCCTTCAAGTCTCCTCCCTTCCAAACCTCAATCTCCCAATGTGAGCTAGAAACATTAACTGCTGGGAGCACACAGCATCACACGGAACCTCGTGCTGCTCTCCAAAGAGCTACCTGCAGCCTGGCAGGACTGCCAGCACAGCTATTAATGGCTCACGATGAAGCTGCCAGAGCCGGTCCCTCTCGCAGGCAGTGGGGCAGAATGGCCACTGCCTGCCCAGCCAGGAGTGCATGAAGATCAGCAAACCAGAAGCAGAAAGCCTTTGGGCTTTGCAGGTTGACCACATGTAGCATAGTAAGAGGCAGTGAGTGTGGAGTGGCTGTTGCCTCCAGAGACAGTTGTAGAGGGGAAATGGACAGAAGCAGTGGCTAGAGGCAAGAACTATACCAAGAGTTACGTAGCCCTAACAACCCCATTTGGAATCAACTTCAGTGGTGGCCAGGCTGAGTGCTGGTTGCAGTTCACTTGCTATGAGATGCAGACAGTGGCTTGTTTGGAAAGCCTCTACACTATGACTGCACCAGGTTCACAAGTCCTCCAAGATGGCAGATGGCACAGCGCAGCCTAAATCTGTACATCTGTATGCAGCCAACCCACTGTCATTAAAATTCACTGGACATGTTAGGTAAAGCTCTGGCGTTTAGCTTGGACTAATGCTCTCTCACTTTTTGATTTGGTTATGAAAGAAACCTGTTCACCTGCGACCCTAAACTCCTGCACAGCTTTGCAAGGCAACATCATTCTCACTGACTACCCCCATTTTCCACCTTAAGCCAACCCAGTGATGCACATTTAAATATCAGTTGGAAGGCTTTTTTGCCTTCTCAGCACCTCTGAGAGCATCGAGAGCTATTAGGAAGGGAGACATTAGCAAGCTATAATGCAGTATTTCATACCATGGGAGCAGAAAGTGGCACATTAGTTTTGCATCTCTGGCTTCAGCTTAACCACCCCAGTTGTCTGTCCTGAGAAAGAGTCTGTGCATTCAGGAGTTTGCTTTAAAGCAAATGCTCAATACCTGCACCAAGCAGAGAGCAGTTCATTCACAGCTAAACCCAGGCAGAGTGTCAACTTGCAAGCAGAACAGCAAAGACTGAATTTGCTGGCGGTGAGAACACCAATAAATGCAGGTTGGAGGGAGAAGCCAAGTGCACAGAACTGATGCAGGTTATCCATGTTCGACAAGCACAGTTGGGATCACAGAATCACAGAATCACAGAATCACCCGGGTTGGAAGGGACCCCAAGGATCACGTAGTTCCAACCCCCCTGCCTAGCAGGGCCACCAAACATACACATTCAGATCAGGTTGCCCAGGACCCCGTCCAACCTGGCCTTAAACACGTCCAAGGACGGGGCATCCACAACCTCCCTGGGCAGCCCGTTCCATGGAGGATGAGGAGGTGTCTTTTCAAAACCCTTTTAACAGATTCACCTTTGAGAGCATTCAGCAAAAAGACAAAGCAAAAATGTTAAAGGGTCAAATGCTGGGTGTTTGCTTGTTCTTTCCTCAGGCAAACTCTCATTGATTGACTATGGGAAGGGAGAGAGCTGAGCAAAACTGACTGAGGAGTCCCACTGCTAATTCTGCCGCACACAGCCTCCCGGCAGAAACTAATGTCAATAGACAAAGCTCTTTCAAACATACCCTGCTGTCTGACTGCTGCATACTGCCAAAAATGAGTCTGAGGGACTGATGACACCCTTCCACTTTTAGAGCTCGCACCTTCTGCAAGCAGCATTGTTAGCAGTTGTGCAGCTGGGTCTTGGTGGGATGAAAGAACAGGGTTGGCTGGGAGCAGGCTGTGGTTCAGCAATCCATGCAGATATCAGCTGCAGGATCCTCAGGAAATGAGTCATATGACTAGGATCCCATTAAGGAATGAGCTTTCACAGATCTTTGAGAGATCCAAACCGTGCTCTGGTCATTATATCTAGACAGGGCTAAGCAACAGTTTTTGCAGAGGCAGCTAAAAGAAGGGGCTGCACAGTAGGTGACTGAGTGCATTTGACCAGTTTTTTGAGCATAGCTCTGCTTGTGAAGAGAATGAGACAGGCATATCCCCCAGTGGCCAGGCTACCAGCTTTAACTGCCCAAGAAAGGTACTGATTCAGCAAGACTGCTCACATGACCAGTTTACTCACATCCAGACTGCAGGATCACTACCTTGGGATTCCTGTGACTTCATGTCGACTCAGGAGTCTCATCATTGCAGTCACCTCCACTCTATTCCCTGATGCTATTACACAACCCAGAAGCAGGGAGAATCTCTGACCTGTCACTGCATAGGTGGGGGACAAGCTTTGTGAGGACATTTGGTCTTAGTTTGCTTTCTGTTTTCGTGCTTAGCAAAGATGGGAAAGCACATCACTCCTGCTTGTCCCCATCATAGGGAAGGCTCAAGCAATTGACTGCATAGGAGACCAAAAACACGCAGTCACTGTCGCAAGCCACATTTCCACAGTCACTAACTCAATATGTCCAAGTGCACATGCAGTCAGGTACCTTTTGTGAATAAATCCATTCCCTCTTCTGCACAGCCAGTAAGAGAGTCAGTTCACTGAGGACTCACACAGGTACTTACCCACGCTTCTGCCCCATGATTCCCTTCACATGCAAGTGGACATACTGCAAGGTGATGTTTCACAACTGTGCAAACTGGGAAGCTGTATGAAGATGGGAGGACTACATGCCTTTTTTGTGCCTTACTCTCAGGCACAGCCTTAATGATTCAGGGAACCTCAGCCAAACCTGAACAAGCTTGGTGGCAGCGAAGGAACATTCCCATTCAATCTTTGCTACTCAGCATGGAACCCCTTTTTCACCAAGACAGCTGATGAAATAGCTGAAATGACTTCAGCAGCCACCTCCATCTTGCTGGCTAATGGAATCCTCACAAACAGTGGGGTCACCTCCTAGGATCAGCAAAAGAGATACCACTGGGCAAGACTTCTTGGTAACCATCCCACAGTTGCAGTGAGAGTCATCAGATCTGTCACTTGCACCACCGAGCAAGTGGCAGGTTTTCATCTGAGGCAAGAGCAGTGAAATGTCACAGGCAGTGACAAGGCAAAATGCTCAATGCGCAGCACGGGGATGGTGACATCTCACAGATGTGCTGCAGCACACCTCTGCAGACAGGGAGGAGGCAGGCATGGCATGGATCTGGCTGGCCAGGAGTGGTGTGTCCTACCAGGGGGATGGTAACCACTCCTCCACTCCATCCCAACACACTTGATGCAACAGCAGAGGATCTGGATGTGGAACAAACCGGTTGAGCAGAGGAAGGACCAAGACGGTATTTCATTCACCTCGCAGTTAACAAGCACTGCCTTGCATCACTCACTCCCCTGGAGACAGGTTTGAGGTTAGAGGTCACAATATCACCCTGAGTACAGAGCTTGGCATCCTTCCTACAAATGTCTTTGATGCAACACATTTATTTTGGCTGTGTGGCAGCATCTGTACAGTACACATACATTACCAGCAGCTTCAGAGCCCTGAGTTGTCCTTCCTCTTGCTATCCCTGATTTTTGAAAAAAGAAAAATAAAAACCACAAACCATAGGACCACTTCTCCTTCATTACAACTGCAAGGAAACAGGACTGAAAAAGTCCAAAACCACATAGGCACTTGCTGACAACAGAAGAGATGAACCTCAGGAAGCCAGGGTTCCAGTCCACTGTTCTCACCATTAGGGTGCCCTAGTGCTGGAAGTAGAAGCCATATTGCCAGCTCTCCACAAGGTCTCACTTCTCTCTGAGAAACTCTCTGCACATTTGATCAGATGTTAGACTAGGGAGACTCTGCAATAGCTAAAATACATCATATTGGAATTTAAAGGGATGGGGTTTGGGGGTATTCTAGGCAGGGCAGTGATTTTTTTAAATTTTGTAAGATTGTTTAAGAAAGAGACTAGAAAAGTCTTTTGCTTCCAGTGCAGTACCACTGGAATCTGTGTGGAATTTCCCCAGTTCAAATGGGGACAGAAAGTACTATGCCTTTCCTGACACACAGTATACCACACCTTCCTTTCCTAAACTATAAAGCAGCAGAACCCTCATACCTACTCCACAATCTTGATGCCACAGAGAAAGCTGTGTTGTAACAAGCAAGGACAGTGCAGCATGTAACAAGGAGCAAGACCCAAGAACAGCCCACAGAACAGACAGAAAAAATCATAAATGCAAATGTGCCATGGAGAGTAGAAGTGAGGGCGGGAACACTTGAGCCTCTCCCATCAGTTCATGTCAGTTACATGGAATGGTGCATCCGGCTCAGGAAAGCAATGACCCAGTTTCCCAGACCAGACCCTTTCAGCCACAGAAAGAGTTCATACAAGTTGATCTGCCATAGACTCAGTGCTTCTGTGAGTGAGATGTGGATCCTCCTGAAAATTGAGTGACTTTTGCTCCTCTGATACCTAGAACGAGAGAAACAGCTGCATTAGATCCAGCAGGACACAACCCAACAGGAAGATGGCCTATCCTACAATTTCCTTCCGTACAACCAACCCTTCCCAGGGGAGTAGACTGTCCCACTCCTGGATAATCACCAGCTGTCAGGTCTCCTAGGAGTACAGATTTTCTTCAAACAGAAGTTCCTGAGGAATTGGAGTCTCCTCTTCTGGCACAAATTTGGCAGAAGAGACAGCCTGCTCTCACATGAGCCCAGTTCCCTTTGCACTGCATACAGTGCCCAAGGCCATGGCATCCTCTCCCTCCATGCCCAGCTTTACTTCAACAAGGACAGGTGCATACCGCCGTAGCCTTCACTGGCTGCACATCTGTAGCACTCCAGCAATCCTGACACACTGCTTGCTCACATACTTGCTGTGAGACTGGTCCATTGGCCTGCTGGCCCTAGGATTCCCCTTAGCCCTCAGAGAGCAGCCAGCCTTCCATATGTGGAGGCTGCTCTGTGTCTGGGCTGCGATGTCTGGAAAAAAGACTTACGTAGACACGGCTCTGATGCAGCAGCGAGACATGTTGAGGAAGGAACTGGCACTGGCCCGTGTATGCAGAGCTGACTCAATTCCCCTTAATAAGTCATTGGTCTTCAGCAGCAGCAGCATCTGGCGGGGGACACTGTTGAGGAGCTGGGTGATCTGGGGTAGGTAAGCAGCAGCATTGGACCGGATCTCCACATCCTGCATTCAGCCAGGTCATGTCAGGGAGAAAGGACAGAAAAGCTGAGTGTGGGAAACTCATGTCCAGACACAACTGAGATTTGCAAGGAGGAGACAGCATTTTACCAGGTACTAAAAAGCAAAAACAACCAGCTGGTCCATGTCACATGTGTTCTGCTGTCCCATGAAACTGAAGGCTTTGTGATTTACTGGTAAAGCTATTTCCAAGGCCCCGTTTGGTCCTTGTTTTCAACACAGCTGAGTGAAGGTGAGAAAGCATTATGCATACCTTCACGTTAACCCAAAATATCATAAAACTGTAATTTGTAGGACCCTTGGTCTGACACACCTATATTTTGTCTCGCAGCAGCCATGATCAGATATTGAAAGAAGTACAAAAATCAAGGCACACACAGAGATCTTTCCTTTTCTTCAGTTCCCCAGCTTACAAATAAACTAACCAAGGTAAGATCTCTACCTAGGATGGCACAGCTCAGCAATTACTGACAAGCTTGAACCATGTAAGATGGCTACTATTGTAGCACATACAACAGCCAGCCCTCTGCCTCAGGCCTGCTGCTTCTTGCATCTGACAGTTTCACCATCACTCCAGGAAATGTAGGACAGGATGGTAGATCTGATTCCATATATACTCTGCTCTTACCTCTTCCTATAAAGGCCGTGACATGAATTGGTAAACCCCCCAAAAAGTCCCTGAAACACTTGAAATAGCCAGAATCCAACAGGACAGATGTAGAGGGTAGTAAATGACTTCTTAAAGAGAGAGAGGGTCCTTTGTAAGGAAAGGAAAGGATTGCTATAAAACATTCTCTCCTATGGAATGACAGATTGTGTGTATGTGTACATACTTCATGATATGAGATCTCATACTCAACTTTTGCAAACTTAAGACTCAATACAGAAGAAAAAGCCCACACAAAAGCAGTATGCAGGCCATGGTGGTCATAGGTGTATCTAGCTCAAGTACCACCACGGTTGCTTTGGTGTTGACAAATAAATTATAAATGATGTTCTGGCTCTATTGCTGACCAAACACATAAAGCTTCAGATAGAAGATGCTCAGTTCTCCTAAATGTTAAATGTTTCATTCCACTATTTGTTGGCAGAAAATTCTCTGCTGATATTCATTATCCTCACCAGCACCACAGCAGAGGGTACTTTATCTTCCACAAAGAGGTTTTGTTTTCTCTTTCTTCTCTTTGTGTTTTTAGCTCCAGCTGTTTGTACACACCACATAGCAGCCACATGATCTGTCATCAAAACTGCCATTTTCTGTCAGGAGTGAAGCCTGCACACGGAGGAAGAATTGAGATGTGCCACAGGACCTGAGAAAAGCCCCTTGGCTGCAATCACAGAGACAGCTGCGGGATGCAGCAAAACGCAATCATAAAATCTGATGAGATAGGGCTAGCAGCCACCTTGAGCAGTCAGCTGCCTGCCTTGGCTTTAGGCATGAACAACTACACCTAGAGAAATCCTCACACATTTGCCCAGCCTGTCCTTAAAACTCCCCAGTGATGTGACTAGCATCCTCCCCAGACCACTGCACCAGTATCTCACTATCCTTTCCATCAGATCTGGCTTTTCTCATATTCTTACTCAAATCTTCTTAGCTGAAATTTTATGCCCATTATACTTCCTGTCCTGCTTGCAGCAGTCTTTAACAGACTGAAATCACACACACAAATTCTCAGCCTGAACTCTTCTAGATTGCTTCTGCCCTGACTTACCTCCTGAGTTAGATCTGCTTGAACACCAGTCCTCATAGCTTCCCAGTGGCCTCTCCCAAGTTTCATCAAACCTTCCTCCAGAGGCAGTGCCCCAGATTGGACATAGCACTGCAACTAGGATTTTGTATCAGGAGGGTCTCACAGAACATTCTCCTGTCAATCCACCCTCACGCACCCTCTCACAAGCCCCTAGCTGATGGCAGCTGCCTACCAGAGCCACTTGGCTTTCCCGGCTGATACAATCTTCCAAATTCACCTCTAAACTAAGGGTAAACAGCAGCTCATTTCCTAATGCCACAGTAAATCTGCTCAGCTCCCCATTATCTGCTACAGGATTATCTAGTTTCAGCATTAATTGTGTCATGTAGGCAGAGCCAACAGAGCTGGCTCCATACAAGCAATCCAGTTCTGACAAAGTTCGTTAGCCCACACAAGGTACCACGCAGCCATGGTTATATCTCTAGCATAACTTACATAAGCCGGTTTAGGATAAACATTGCTTACTAGCTCAGATTCAACGCTGGCCTTGAAGTATTAGCCGTGTAGTCAGCACTGTGTTGGTTCACTTTAGTGCCCCTACTTTTTTTTTTTTTCTGGAGCTATCAGCTTCAGAAATCAGCAGACCAAAGCACAGATCTGCTAAACAGTCATTAAATCATTTCTAATATGCACAAAATTAACTTAGGTAGGAAGCAATCAAGTTACCAGAGGTGTTCTTTTACCCAAAGTATCTGGCCTATTCACTACTGTGTGTAACAGCAAGCCAGCAGAGCAAATTCAGCCACATCCACCAAAATGAAATGCCAACCCAAAGGGATTTCCAGAAGAGAATTTAACAGAACAATATTTTAATGCTACTTAAATTATTATCATCCTATCGACAACAAATGTTTGCAGATAAGAACAAAACATAGAATACAACATATTTCTCCCTACAGACACTGAAATCACATCAGTATATGCTCATCTCTAAAAAAAGCACAGCTGGCAGGGGCTGCTACTATTCTTAAGGCACTGCGTGCACATAACAAGCGCTAGGAGGTGTGAGAAGGATCCCAGCATGTGCAGATAGGGAAGGGGGGGGAAGAACGTAAGTCACAATTTCCCACATTTGTAGTGATTGAGTTGACAGAACCTGCAGTTAAGCAACCTTGACTTCAAGTTAATAGGTTTTGTGATTGGGAGGTAATTTCCAAGGGTTTTTAGGAGTTTGTATCAGTGCTGATAGTCATTTACATGAATAGTGATAATGCATTACCCTTCTCATGTCTTCTTCCCACTAAGCCTTTATGTCTCCTCTGCCTCATCCTATCCTCCTTGCTGGTTGCCTGCACAGCTGCATTAAACACTTCTTTTTAAGAAAAGGCTGATTTGCCTTCCCAGAACTGGTGAACACTAACCCATTAAAATATCGCACAAAATTTAAGCAGCCCATGACAAGTGAAACTGGGAAATTAAGTTCAGCCACTATAAAACACATTGCAGAAAAATTCCTCACTTTTTTCTAGCTTAGCTGTAAATGCAGAATTTGTCATGGAGCTGCCAAGGGTTATCCAACATCACTGCGATAGCACCAGTGCAAGTGGTTAAAACAGGGGAAAAATATCCAAGGAGAAGGAAGGACTCCCAGTACGGAAGGGCCCATGAGTCCTACCTCACTGGCTGAGACTGGTGACTGGTCAATTCCCCTGTTGACAGACTCCCAGGACCTGGCGGTGAGCATGCAGGCAAAGAGAGGGTACAAATCCCCTGCCCCGAGCCGCCGGCTGTACTTCTGCACCCTCTTCATGTCAGCCTTGATAAGGGCCTGCCAAAGGCGGCAGTAGTCCATGCGGAATGACTCACTCAGCACCTGAGGAGAAAGACATGACCCCTCAGAAGTCCGCAGAGAAGAAAGGAGGAGGAAAACTGTGTCCCCTAGCTGTGCCTTATCCCCCAAGTCAGGAAGTTTCCTTGGAGAGTTACAGGAAAAATAGGAAAAATAAATTCATACAGGCTTCAAGGAGCAACAGAGCAGCTGGTTATGATCTTCCAGCCTGATATTCAAGGGAGCCCTGCAGAGACCTGGAAGCCCCCCAGTTACATACCTGGTAGAGCCCATGGTCCAGGAGAATAATGTAGGCCTTGCCAGAGTCTGGGCACTTCTTCACCAGCACATTGCCTGGGTGTGGGTCGCAGTGGACAAAGCCATTCACAAAGATCATTTCACTGTAGAGTTTTCCCAGGTTGCGAGAGATCTGTGAGGAAACAGGAGCTGGTCACACAGTGCCACCCACAGAAGGGTGCCTGCTAGGGACAGGAGCAGACCCTGTATGTCTCTGCAGGACCAAAAGGTTGGCACAAGCCAATGTCCTTATGCTGCCATCAACTGCAAAGTGATCAAGAATGCTTAGGGAAGGATCCACACAGGAAGCAACATGAAGATGTTTGTGGAGTCAGAAGTTATTTTAGAACATTTGCCTGGCATAAAAAAAGAAAAAACATCTGTGAGTATGAATAGGGTTTCTAGTAAGGAGGAGGAAAATGAGATGGAAGATATAGGCAGATAAATATCAACAACGAAGGCATGGAAGAAGCTGCTGAGATGGGTTCTAGGAGGACTCGTGTTTCCACCCACAGATGACAGCAGGAACCAAAAGTGAATGAGTGGGAGGAGATTCAGCCTGTCCATCTGCTTACTAGAGCAAATGTGGGTTCCCTATGCCCTCCCTCCATCACACCATTCCCCACTTTCACTCTTCCTTTCCTCTGTCCCATACTAATCCGACTTATAATATCTGTGAAGATGCAGCAGCACAGGAAAGCTGTTTAAATCATCCTATCATTGCTGCATACCTCCATACCAGTGCTCAGAGATGTTATTCAAGTTAACAACCTCCTATGTGCAAACAAACAATACCAGGGCCTCAGATCAATCCCTCACCACGGTCACACAGAAGCCTCTCAACTCTGACATTCCACTGCCAGGCCTCCCTGCCACCAGAAAGTGGCATAATGTTCCACAACAGAGTGCTGACCAAGCAATTAAAAGCCAATTAAAAGACAATCATTATAAATGCCATCAGACTCACAGTGTAAGCAGCATACAGATAGCTGTCCCCATAAGGAGAGGTAATGTTATACTAACCAGTGCGTCCTGCAGAATGCCTGGCAGCCAGGCAAGGTCTTGTTTTACCACCTACAATACGCAGCAGCCTCTGAGAGGAGCACAGTGACTTCCTCTTTAGGTAGCTATAGAACAAAGCCATACTACTGCAGCAGGACAAAGTATGCGAAGCTCCGTACCAACAGCCTGGAAGAGAAACTGGAAGACCACCAGCCACCAAGCTAAAACACCATCCTTATGAGGAATGCTCTCGTAACTACAAATGATAAGGAAGCGTAAGAACTGTTTCTGCAGCACACCGACTGTAGAACAAGGAGGGATAGCCCTCCATGCCTCAGGTGAGTGCTGGAGCCATTACAGAATCATGGCGAATGCTGCCCTCACACCAAATCAGACAACCAGGTGGTATATCACAGTCATGCAGTTCCTTATTTCCACATAGGTATTACCATAAGTTCTGACAGAGGGGAAAAATGTTTCCTTCTGAATTACCAGCACAGATCACTGAAGCAATGAAGGACAGTACAAGAGAGACACGGACATATGAAATATTGACATCCTGGAAAGAGATGCAAATATACTAGAAATAGTTCAACATAAGGCCATTCAAATGAAGAGACTGGAGCTCCTCTCTTGTGAAGAGACTGTTCATATGAAATGAAGAGGCTCGGAGGCACCTTATTGACATCTGTAAATGCCTGAATGGAGGGTACAAAGGAGAGGAGCTAGGCTCTTCTCAGTGGCATTCACTGCCAACAAAAGAGGAAACGGGCACAAACTGGAATATGGGGGATTCCATCTAGAGATGAGGAAGCACTTTGTTACTGTGTGGTGGGTAAGCACTGGCACAGGCTGCCAGAGTAGTTCCACAGTCTCCTCTTTACAGATCCATATTTCTAAGGTTTAGAGTGCAAAATGTGAATAGTGATCTGTCATTATAGCTCAGACAAAAAGAATTCATATTTACAGAAAGTTAAGAAATAACTGTAACCCCTTTGCATACATTCAATGCAATATAGCCCCTTAAGTTTTCAAAGTTGCATATGCTATATATGACCTCCGATACAGACATTTCTATATATCCAACTCTGTAAGACTTACATAGCTTCATTTTCTGTACACATTTATCTCGTGCACACTTGCTGAAGGACTGAAATGCAGATATTCTGATAGGATTCTTAGGACAAAAATACTTTCACTAACCATTCTAAGTGAAAAAAATAAAAAAAAAAATTGAATTCTGTTTTTTACCAGCTTCCCAGCTTTCTATTTCTACATCCCCAAATGAACAGTGAAAGGGGACCAGGACAAGGTTTGATTTTTGAATATTTATGGGAATAAGGTATTTAAAATACTTGTAGAGAAACAATTGGAAGAGCTTGTCATCTAAGCCACCAAATTCCCCACATGTGCTTGCCCCTGCTTTGCTTTCTCTAGTACAGTAACTCCATCACTATTAGCCTTCAGTGCACTCTTACTGAAAATGCCACTGGATAGATAACTTACAAAGAATTCATTTTGGAAGAATGCAGTCAGTTGAAATGAGAAAACAAACACATGAAAACCTCTACTGTGGTGAAGAGAGGAATTCTAGAGGCATTTAGGCTGTGTAAGACCTTGAGGTGAAGGTGCAGAGCAAATTAGACAAAAGGTTGCAATGATTTACGGTAGCAAAACCAAAGTAAACACAAACAGACATTATGTTATGACAGGAGAGGTCACCACTCCTCTCCCTGATTGTCATTCAGTACGAGGTCCTTATGACTACCAGGGTCTACCAGCTTTACTCTATTGAATGTAGTAAAAAAAAAATAAAATTAAAAGTCACCCTTGGAATTCTGCATTCACTTTAAGACACCTCATTAATAGAGACTCAGACAACATGGAATGTGTTTACAGAAAGCAAATAAATGAGCAGCATGCAGGAGGAATTTACTTAGGAAAAGGATTAAAATAGCTGAAGATTCTGAAGGTGGCTAAGGAACAGCAGAACAGAAGCACTCTAACAATTTTAAAAGGTTTGAATACCAAACAAACAGAGGCACTTGTAGTGCTGAATGTGCTACAAGAAATATAAGTAAGTAAAAAAAAGGATGTAACTAAGAATGGGACAATTCAGGCATAACATACAAGAAAAATAACTACGCTTGTCAGCAAGCAGAGCTGAGCTTGATAGATCGAAATGACACCAGACTGTCTCTGGCCAGAAGCATGTCCTTACCCATAGCCAGAAGGTATGCTACTGCTTGAAAGAAGTTCAACTTGTTCTCCTGTGCAGCACCAGAACATGACGACTATAGGTACCAAGTGAGCCAACAAAACCAAACCTCCCATTGCCACGTTACGTGACGTGATCATTGCGCTGTGTCAGGCAAGCTGCATGTTTTCAATTCATTGTTTTCCTTTTTGAAAACGTAGCTGAGGAATAAGTAAATTGTACGAAGACTGCTCCAAAATTAATGCCTCTGGTTTTGTTATGCTGGCCTGTAATGTCAGAGGTAGACACTGGTGGCACAGCAGTAGAGGTTGAACCTTCCCACCAATATTCTGTTACACGTTGTTGCTGGGCAACAGATGGCAGCAGAGGGGCAATCTGACAAAATGGTGCCGGACAAGAAAGTGCATATGAAGCAAAGGAGTGGAATTGAATTTCTTTATGCAGAAAAGATCCCACCCACCGACATTCATTGACACTTGCTGAATATCTATGGAGACCAAATAGTGGATGTGAGCACAGTGATGCAGAAGGTGGTGCAGACTTCTACAAGCACAGCATGCACACTCTTCTTTATCACTGGCAAAAATGCATAGCTAATAATGGTGACTATGCTGAAAAAACTGATTTGCAGCTGAGAATTTGCTCTATAAAACAGCGTTAATGTTTTCTTCATATTCGTTGTGCTTTCCATGGAAATAAATAGCAGACATTACTTTCAGAGCAACCTATGCATTGGCTTGTAACTCAAGTCCTGCTTGAGTTACAATACAGAAGAAAATAAGAATGCAGTACAGACATCAAAATCTGAGACTAATTTCAATCATGTCCAGCTTATGTCAATTGCTTCTTTTCTAACAAATCCCTTGAGTATAACTCATCCTCTCCCCCAACAGTGTGTTTACCGAAATAATAATTACCAGCATAAATACAGCATGAACACAGCCCCATTTCTACAGAACATCCCTTTATCTGATGTGTTGAAGTAGTCAACCTACCTTTAACACAGTTGCACCATACTGGACACATGCACTCTGCCAACTGAGTAATATCCCAAATTTAATTCTAATATGTCACTTTCCTCTGATGAACTCCCAGCATTTTTAAGAAACTCTTCTCATTAGTTTTAAGAGTACAGCTTTTCATTTGGTATTTCTCATTTTTATCCCTTTCTATCACTTCAGTCCTCAAGGCCACCAAGTGCTATTGCTACTTTAATCCTTCTCTATAGTGACAGACCCTCCCAAATTGGTGCCATCTGCAACCTCCTTCAGAAAGTTCTGCTCATGTCAAGGTCATTACTGAAATTACTAATAAAATCAGTGTGAAGGGCAAACCTTGCAAAGCTCAACTACAGTAATATTTTTCCACAATTGCTTCTAACCATTTCTTACCTACCTTGTGGCTTACCCACCTTTTCTAGTTATCTGACTCATAAGTAGCACACCAACTGTTTTACCAAGTACACCTACTGCATTTCTGTCACCTAATTCAGAGGACCTCAAGCTGCATGGCTGCACAGACAGCAGTAGTGATATATTTCTTCTTGTACATACACATAGCTTTGCTGTCATCAGTGTTACCTAGCACTGCTGGACTACAGGTGACAATTTGGAAAGTATAGACAACGTTATCCTTCCGTGTCCCACTACTTGATGAACTCATATCTCCTTGCAAAGAACTCCGTAGCAACAAAACTCCAGATACACACCAGCCCCTGTAAGTAACGAAAATCTTAACAGCACAACCAGCTGACAGAACAACAAATAAAAAAAACACTGGAAGGCTCATCACAAATAAATACCCTTACAAATACAAGGGCAGTGTGAATAATTATCAAGAAAAAAAAAAAACCATGAGTGAGTGCAAATTTAAGCCTATGTACACAAGATGGCAAGTATATCACCTTTGTTGGT